CTAATGAGCTAACTTCCAATTAATCCTACTATGTTACAGGAAAAAAGTGATGGCTAAACATTTTCCAAATGAGCAATGTGACTTCAATTAGTTTTTTTTAAAAAAAAAACCCAGATTATTTCAAAATGCCTATAAGGCATGTTTAATTAAAGGATTCTATAAGACATCTTCACATGAATACCTATGGTAAGTAGTTAAAATGACTCAATTTTACTAAGGCTAAACAACAATCATTTTTGAATGATTTTGCCATTTTCACAGGATTTAAAGCTATGAGACAAATAACGAATGAATCCTACTTGCAACTGTACTTTTTCATGTCTTGCTACTTCACTACAAAATCATGGCATCGAGGTAGTAGGTAAACAATTTGTAAGAAAAAAATATCCTTTACAATCCCTATCTAAAATTATTGTTTCTAAGATCTCATTGTGTCTACAAGATTAAAAACTGTATTTGCAAGTAGGGAAGAGCTTAGTTTTGATATCACAATCACATTCAAATGTAAAACACAATGTTAAGACTGATTAAACAACCAATTCCATTTTCTTTAGTTTGAGCCAAAACAGCCAAAATTATATAAATATGAGTAATATTTACACTCAAAACGAAATACAAAACATGCATAGCAAAAATGCTATAATATTTTTATAATGTTGTCACTCACCTCCTAGAATATATATGCAGTATGTAGATGGAAAGACAAATACATTTCAGTTTTCATACCTCATCAAACCACATCTCGTATACTTAACAAGCCAGTCGTCCATTATATAGAAACATCACAAAAATGTGTATTTTAGATAGCAGCTTCTCGAGTATTATTCTATGCCACAGTATAATTCAGAAAAAGGTGGAAAAAAACAGGAAGAAAATTCCAAGCCCAAACTATATTCTGCTTGCAGCTGATGATGATGAAAACCAAAGGCTGGCAGTTTTAGTACCAAGAGGAGAGAACAGCACACCATCAGATGTTGGGATTTCCCTCTGTCACATTCAGACTCAGGAAGGTTCCAAACAGCCATTCATAGGCAGACCACAGGCTCCTCCAAAATCTGGGACAGCCAAATACGCAGTACACGAATATAGAACATGCCTTTTAAAAGGGAAGCATTTTGATTAATGCCACACAGCTAAATAAGTTCCCAGCTTGCTATTCAGATCCTCATTCAGCTATTTTATCCAGTCTCCTCCTATAAACTAAAATCCTTTCTTTGGAAAAAATCTGTTATTCCCAAGTCTTCCTTCAGAAGATGAATATGTGCATGAAAATCTCTTTGGGATTTTTCAATATCCATCCACCTTCATTCTCTTTACTGAACACCACACAATCATTCAGAGCCTTTAGTTTTATTTCCAGGCATACATCTCTATACAAAGTCAGTATTACAATAAGGACACCTAGGGAAAAAGGAAGCTTCGCACTAAATACTCAGTACAGAGTTTGAGCAATGCCCTGGAAGATACTTTCCAAGCAAATGGAGACTGGCATCAAAGATCAATGCATTCAGGCAAAAGCCAAGACCTACAAGCTCCAAAACATCTACCTACAAGTACAAAAGGCCACCATCTATTGAAGGGGAAATTCCCTTATTATGTACAACCCTTCATGATGCCAACCTCTTTTTCCTTTTACCCCAAGTAGCTGAATAGTGGCAATTCAGAGAGACACACTTCCTTTGAGGAGGGAATAGAAAACCAAGGACTGGCAGCTGCACATAGAAGGGAAGGACATGGCTGGTGAAAAAAGCCAAACATAGTAGCCAGGAATAGCCAATGTCGCTGTTCACTCATGCCACTAGTTATGAGAATGGAATATGGTGGGCTCCCAGTCACTGCAAGGGAGCACAGGAGAGAGAGACAGTGGCTGATGTTCTTTACTGCCACCTCTCTGTTTGGTTCGCCATTCATGCCGGCAACAGAGGCAGCTGCTTCTTCCATCAGCTGACCTGCCACCTCTGGCTGGTGCAGTGGTCCCAACCCAATCAGCCACACTGTTTTGGCATGGAAGAAATGAAAGGCAAGCTGCAGCTCTTTGTAGCCTTCTCTGATATGAGAGAAAGAGCCACAGGCCACAGCAAGGAACATCATCGTTTCCTGCCACTCACCCACCATCTCCCTCAGGGGGGCCCACTAAGGGAGGCACCAGAGGCCCTTCCTGGCTCCGCTGTGGTGGAAAGTAGCACAAGGAGCAGCAGCAGCAGGAGTTGGGAAGACTGGGCCCATGGCGAGAAAAAGAAGAGTTGGGGCCACCAAGGCCATGCATGATGGCAGGGCATGAACTCCTTATTTGTGGCCATGATTGAGGATGGCATGATTTTAATAGTGAATGCAATGTTTTTATGAAATTTTTAATTTAAGTGTATTTTAATTGTTTGTTGTCCAAAGGCACTGAATAGTTGCCATATGTAAGGCCGCCTTGAGTCCTCTTTGGGGCAGAGATGGGTGGGTCACAAATACAGTAAATAAATAAATAAATCGTTCTCTCATTCCTTCATCCTCCTGGACTGAGCTACCAGACTGGGAAGTACACTGACAACACGGATTTGCAAGGAAGCCTTCTAACTGAGGCTGCATACACACAACAGAACAGTGGTTCTTCACCTGTGGGCCATGCATCACCAGTGGGCCGCAAGAACAAAAATCTGGTCTGCGAGCCTCCTTCCTCTTAATTATTTTATTTATTTTATTTCCACTCTTTTCACACTGCCTGCCATCCCTTCCCTGTTGCTGACCATGGCATATGTTCTGTATCAGAAACTAGAGCGGATGTGTTCTATCCAATGCGATTTTCTGAATTAGCACCCAAACTGAATCTAAAGTTGCCCAAAAACTGAGTCATAACCATTTTGGTAGTAATGTTGGAGAGTAGTCCCTGGTCAAAGTCCATAGAACAAGCCCTATGAAGAGCAGCTTAAAGAGCTAGGCATGTTTAGCCTGAAGAAGAAAGGCTGAGAGGAGAAATGGTGGCCATGTATATATGTGGGAGGAAGTCATAAGGATGGGGAGGGAGCTTGTTTTCTGCTGTCCTGGAGACTAGGATGTGGAACAATGGCTTCGAACTACAGGAAAGGAGATTCCACCTGGATATGAGGAAGAACCTCCTGACTGTGAGAGTTGTTCAGCAGTGGAACTTTCTGCCCAGGAGTGTGGTGGAGGTTCCTTCTTTGGAGGCTTTTAAAGAGATGCTGGGAGGCCATCTGTTGGGGGTGCTTTGAATGCAATTTTCCTGCTTCTTGGCAGGGGTTGAACTGGATGGCCCATGAGGTCTCTTCCAACTCTATGATTCTATAAAGTGGTCCCTGGTCAAGGAGTCCTTGGTCAAAAAGGGGTTGGGAACCACTGCTGTAGATGGAATGGAGCTGGACACTACTTGGCTCAGTCAATGCTATGGAACCTGAATCTGGTGAGACACAAGTGCAGGTTTCCAGATAAGAGGAACCTGCATAATTTTCAAGGTACTGGCCAGTCCCACTTTGAGTCTCCTTGAGAGAAAAAGCAGGGTATAAATAAATATAATATATATAGTGTGTATATTGTGTGTGTGTGTATGTATATATATGTGTGTGTGTGTGTCTATAAATATATATCTCTCATAAATCCTATGGAACCCTGGAAGGCATTGTAGTGTGGCGAGGCATCACCACGCTGTAAGGCAGGCATGGGCAAACCTCAGCCTTCCCTCCAGGGGTTTTGGACTTCAACTCCCACCATTCCTAACAGCCTCAGGCCCCTTCCTTATGTATATATAGGGAAAAGGGAGGGTCCTGGGGCTGTTAGGCTCGCCTCGGGGGCCGCACAGGAAAGCCCCTGTGCCAAGGAGGCGCTGCTCCTGCTCCGAGGCAGCAGGGACGCCTCACAGGTAACCGAGCTCTCGGATTGGGGGAGGGGGGGGGGAGAGAGAGAGAGGCTGGCACCACTCAAAACTGGGCTGGGGATCCTGGAAGCTGTAGTTCCACAAGGCCTTACAACAGGCATGGGCAAACCTCGGCCTTCCCTCCAGGGCTTTTGGACTCAAACTCCAATCATTCACAACACCCTCAGGCCTCTTCCATTTCCCCCTCAGCCGAGGTTTGCCCATGCCTGTTGTAAGGCCTTGTGGAACTGCAGCTCCCAGGATCCCCCGTCCAGCTTTGAGCGGTGCCAGGCTGTCAGTCCCCCTCCCCCCCCAAACCGCGAGCTCGGTTACCTGCGGGGCGAGAGGGAGCCCCCGCCTTCCCTGCCGCCTGGGAGCAGGAGCAGCGTCTCCTTGGCACCGGGGCTTCCCTGCGCGGCCCCCGAGGCGAGCCCAGCCTCAGGCCCCCTCCCTTTACCCGAGATATATAAGGGGCCTGAGGCTGTTAGGAAAGGTGGAAGTCCAAACCCCTGGAGGGAAGGCCGAGGTTTGCCCATGCCTGCTGTAAGGCCTTGTGGAACCACATCTCCCAGAATCCCGCGCCCAGACTTGAGCGGTGCCAGCCTGCCTGCCTGCCCCCCCCCCCCTTTTCCCTGCGAGCGCGGTTACCTGCGGGGCGAGAGGGAGCCCCTTCCGCCTGGGAGCAGGAGCAGCGCCGCCTTGGCACCGGGGCTTCCCTGCGCGGCCCCCGAGGCGAGCCCGGCGCCCCCACATCCATCCTCCTCCTCCCTCCCTCGTCTTCCTTCCTTCGCCCGGGTTATTTACGGGCCAGTCCCCAGCGGGAGCTGCGAAGTCGAGGCTGCGGCACTGAGCAGCCCTCCCGCCCGCATGCGGCAGGCGCCCAAACCGGCCCCCGCCGCCGCCGCCGCTGCTCTCCGAGGCGCTTTCCCTCCTCACTTCTCCCTCCCTCCCTCCCGCCCGCTTGGAAGGGCCTTTCCTTCGCTCTCTCTCTCGCTCTTCACCCGGCGAAGGGAAAAGGCGAGGAGCGGTGGCTTCCTTCCTCCCTTCCCTTCCTTCCTCCCTTCCTTGACAGCCCTCTCTTTCTCCCCCGCAACTTCCAGGCTCCCTCTCTCGCAGCCCTCGGCTCCCCCGTCTCGCCCGTTACCTGTGAGGACCCCCACGCGGATTTGGTGGTCGTGGTTGGTTAAAATCATCCCCTCCGACGCCATGTTTCCCAGCGCAGGCACCGCACTGACAGGGAGGCGGGTGGGGGAGCGCGGGGGGAGGGGGGGGAGGAGGAGGAGGAGGAGGAGGAAGAGGAGGAGGAAGGGAAGAAGGCGCGCGCGAGCGGGGAAGGAGGAAGGGAGGGGGAGCCAGGCGCGCGAGGAGGAGCCAGCGGGAAGTGTGGCGCGCAAGGGGAGGGGGGAGGGAAGGAGGGAGGGAGGGAGAGGGAGAGGGAAAGAGGAAAGAGAAGGCCAAGGGATTGAGAGAGTGAGGGAGAGCGGGGAGGGGGAGCAAGGAGTGGGCGGAGCCACTCCTCGAAGGGGGCGGTCCTATGACTCGCGCGGGTTGAGGCAGTATATAGATATGGGGGCGGGGACAATGGAAGGGGCGTTGCTTCATTGGGGCAGAGGCGGTATATAGAAAAAGGGGGCGGGGACAGCGGGAGGGGCGGTCCTACGCCTCGCGCGCGTTGAGGCCGTCTCTAGCAAAAAAGGGGGCGGGGACAACTGGAGGGGCGGGGCTTCGTGGGGACATTCCTACGCCTCGCGCGCGCTGAAGCCATCTATAGCAAAAAAAGGAGGGCGGGGACAACGGGGGCGGGACTTCGTGGGGAAGCCAATCAGGTCTCGAGAGGGGAGGAGTTCCCCGTCCAAGTCCACATCAGTCGAGGACCGAGATGAGCGCTGTTCCTCGCTTCCCGCTGCCTGCCTTCCTTCTCTCTTTTCCGCTCGAAAGGGTTAAAGGCAAGCCGAGATATTGGGGACCTCCTGCTTGCACCCGGGAAGCGGGGAAGGTGGGGTTTTTAATGGGGAGGGACGGAGAGGGGGGAGGAAATCCTTTTCCTGCCATCCTTTCTTCCTTCCTTCCTTCCTGGAGCTGAAAGCCACAAGCCTCCCAATGGCTCTGACCTCTTTCCGTCTTCCTGCAACGGGGGGGGGGGGGGGTTTAAAACGTGCCCGGGGTGTTCCCTCGGCTTTGCCCCTGCACTGCACCCACATAGGCATCCGTCACCATTTTCTTTTTCTTTTCTTTTTTGTAATGCATCCACACGTAATTGACCGCATCACGCTGCGCTGGCACGGAGCGCACTGCATTCATACGTGCAAGGAGGAGCTGCACGCGCGCGGACGGCTTCTTCCCCTTCCCAGCGCATTGCCTTGCTTCATTCCCCATTGCGGCCACGTTGGCTCCCCCTTGCACTGCATCCAGGGCACGGGGCTGGTTGGTGGGAGCAGGGAGGGAGGGAGGCCAGTCCGAGGCTCAGGTAGGATTGGCCGTGGAGTTACCTGCCAGGCACGGAAGCTGCGGCCATGTCATTGGGAAACCCTCTCGCCCATCCTTCCCGTGCACATGCCCCTTGCTCTTGCGTAACCCTGCATCACTCCGCAGGTTGGCATACCTGCACTGCTTCTCAAGACGGACAGACAATCCTCCTACTAAAGCATGGGCTGGGCGCCTGCCACGTGCTGCGCCTGCCAACGCACGTGGCTCCACTCCCATGGTGGAGGGCACTTGGCGCTTTGGGCCAGGAATTCAAATGGTACCAGTTCCATACGATAAACACACACACACACACACACACACACACACACACACACACACACATATTGTAACTCTCTCTCTCTCTCTCTATCTATATATATGTTTATCTATATATAGAGAGAGAGTTACACAAGGACCAGCATGGGTATGTATGCTGTCTTGGGTATACCATTTTGACAAGCTATCTATATATCTTCTATCAGCTATATAAATAAAAATTTAATGTTCATTTGTGGGTTAACATAACTCACAAACCACGGGACGCATTGACACCAAATTTGGACACAATACACGTATCAGGCCAATGAGTGACCATCACTCATAAAACCACTGGAGAACAGCAGAAGAGACTTTAAAAGCCAAAAAACAATAATACATTACAAACAGATTCCTGGTTCTTGATTCCTGACAAGTGGAAGAGATCTGAATTGTCAACAGGGAGACTGGTAGTCCCCTCTCAGAGGGCAAGAGCATTGCAATGGAGATGTTTTAAGGGAGGTCTTCTCAGAGGGCCAGTTAAAGATGAAAGCAAGCTGGAGAAGGGAGTCCTTAAGATGACAAAAGTTGGGCAACAATTCAATTCTTGAATCCTATCTTCAGAAAATACATACCTAGGCAACACTTAGTACTTCCACCACTAGTAATATAGAAAACTAAACTTCCAACAATAATAATATTATAATAAACTTTATTTATACCCCGCCACCATCTCCCCCAATGGGGACTCGGGGCGGCTTACATGAGGCCAAGCCCAAACAACACATTATAATACAGTAAAATACAATAAAATAAAAACCGAAACGCAAGCAACAACACAGTAAAATACAGAAACATAATGAATACAATAAGCAATGGATACAAAACATAAGAGTACAATGAACAATCACAGTAACAGTGAGCGGGCCACATGTATGATAAAATGGTTAAAAACTCAGGGTGAGATAAAAGGAGCAGATTATTTGCAGGGGCGCACGCATAGGGGAACGGGGTAGTAAACATGCTTTCATACAAGGGGAGGTGTATTCCAAGGACAAAAGCGTTGAGGGGAGCAATAGCATAAGGTTGTGTGGCTACTCTCCGAAAGTGCAATGGCAGAGCCAGGTCCTGAGAGTCTTTTTAAAGCTTTTTAAGGTAGGGGCTTTCCTAATCTCTCCAGGCAATAAGTTCCAGAGTCGGGGAGCCACAGAGGAGAAGGCTCTCTCTCTTGTACCCACAACTGACACAACTATAACTACGACAATAGTTACTGGTTGTAGACTTCTTTTTTAAATTAATTTTTATTCAAAAATTTAACACAAAGACAAAAAATATAAAAAGTATACATTTAACACATCTAAATTTAAGATAGTCACTTTAACATAAAACATACCTACACTAATAAACACATATTAAACACACAGCTACCAAAACTGTTCTCTGAACCTCGCACCACATTCTATATGTTTTTATTGCTTATTTTCCTATTTCCTATAAATAATGCTAAACAACCACACTTCTACTTTTAAAGAAATTTTGGAGCATGGCTGAAACATGCTGCACTCCGTATTATACTTCAGTGTGAACCAGTTAGTGTCTCCACACTTAAAAGCTAAATTCCACACAGCACGCTGAAGGAGTAACATGACATTTTGTTTTGCCATTCATGTACTTTTATATTGGTTTTATCCTGCAGTTTTAACCAAGTCACTGATGAAAATAGTGAACATACCTAAAGGCAACACTGATCCTTTTGGGAAACCTTTTAACAACTCTTTGCAACTGAGTTTATCCACTTCTTTAGGCAATAGAATTACATTAAAACACATTCGTGCAATAGCTTTATTAATTAAAGAGGGGGTTTAAAGGGACACTCTAGATGCCTAGCTTTTTTTACTTTTTTCCCTTCCCTCCAACCTTTTTTTAATGGATGTCATTGCATTGTTTTAAACAGAATCTCATGGTGCCTACCTTGCATCCTATAATACTATTTCTATCCCTGTATCTGTGTATGTAATATGTGTGAGGCCCTCCTTTCACCCCCTGTTTAAGGAGCTCCAGTGGTTTCTGTTCATCTTCCAATCCCAATTCAAGGTACAGGTTCTTACCTTTAAAGCCCTAAACGGTTTGGGACCTGCCTACCTTCGTGACCGTATCTCTCCATGAACCAGCCCGAACTCTTCGATCCTTGGGCGAGGCCTTCCTTTTGCCCTTGCCAGTCCTCAGACTTGCATTGTGGATACAAGGGAGAGAGCCTTCTCCTCTGTGTCCCCCCAACTCTGGAACTCATTGCCCAGAGAGATTAGGAAAGCCCCTACTTTAGAAACCTTTAAAAAGAGTCACAAGACCTGGCTCTGCTGTTGTGCTTTCATAGAGTAGCCACATAATTTTATGCTATTGCTCCCTCAACATGTTTGCCCCAGGAGTCCTCCCCCCCCCCCAATGTACGAAGGGTTGTTTATTTTCCTGTCTCTCTATGAGTTCTCCCTTACAATTAGTTCTGCCCCCTTATCTCACCCGGAGTTTTTAAACCATTTTATGTACATGTGGCCCACTCTCTGTCATTATGTTTGGTTTCTGTGTTCTGTGTATATTCTTTTATATGTTTTGATGTTTTACACTTTAATGTTGTGTTGTTTATTTTATTACAATTTGTATTTTTATATTGAAGTTGTTGTTCAGGCTTGGCCCCATATAAGCCGCTCCGAGTCCCAGTTGGGGAGATGGTGGCGGGGTATAAATAATGATGATGATGATTATTATGTCAAACCAAAACAAGATGGGCCTCAGAGATCTTTATCTTTAAGATACCCCACAGAAATATTTCCTGGGCTGAGAGGAGAGGCTGGGCTGATCCTCCAAGCTATTCCTGGCAAAGATGATAATGAAGATCCATTGTGTATACATGTAGAAATATAAGACAGTTTCCATGGTGGATCTGATAGTCAGCCGATGTTTGTTCAGCCAAGTATCCCACTTGGGCTGAGAGACTGCTGGTCATGGAAACAGAAACTTGGAATATATACATTTGCAAATTCTTTTTTTCTAAAACCAGAAGACTAACTGGAATTCAATAAAGAACGTAAACATCCGTGAAGGGGGAGGTTTGCAAACACTGGTTTGAGATCAATTTATTGATCACCATTTTGGCTTTTATTTATTATTTCATTTAACTACTTTTTGATCATATGTCAAATTTTCCTTTATTAAATCTTTCTTCTAAGCCACATAATTTCAGGACTGCACCTCAAAAAAGAATACCTTCATCAACCAACTGAAATATGCAAAATAGATTATACAAGCATTCAAAGCTTCCCTGGCTTCTTCATCAGGCAAAAATATTAAAATTTCACATAGAAAAAAAACTATGTTATTCCCCTCAGGAAGGACCTAGGTCATAATATAATTTTAAAATCTCCACAATTTTTTTAAAAAAAGAAATGTGTACATGGATGGCCCCATGTCAGCATACTAGTTAATCAGTATCAGTGAACCTCTGCAAGACAGGACTAAAAACAACTTTTAGCCCTAAACAGTTCCGGCCCAG